GTTTTAGCTTCAGAGAAAAATCCTTTTTTATTTCATTATTTGTTTAAGAAAATTCTTTAGTTGCTGAGCTCTGTTCCTACTATCCACTTTTTACACTTCACTGAATAGCAAATTTCAAAGAATTTTAGAAAAGGGGTCGTGCATAAGCCAAAGAAAACAAACGAAAAAACAAACGCAAAACCTTCACTAATAGGCTTCTTTCTGTAAGCTAAACAAAAGACTGCGGACCCATATTTATAAAGCGATTTAGCTCATTAAAAGGACATGCAACTATTTGCATAAAACATATCAAATAAATAAAAGTTGGTGGAATTAATCGTATATACACATACATACATATGTATGTATGTATACGTACACGATTTAATAGCTCACTAATAGCGGGTGTCATTTGAAATGGCCTTTTCAAGCATTCGCATTTTGGTGTGGTGTAGGAACCTGCAAAAGGTATGTATGTACTCGTATGCATAGGCAAATATGTTTGTATGCGGAATGGACATGTGAATAGGCAGTTGGTTTGAAAATTTGCATTTTGAGGTCATTTCATGGATGAAAAAATAAGGTTGACTTTTTAGCTAAGCTTATTTTCAACAGGTGTATATACATACATATGTATTCTTGCGTCTTTGTACTTATATTTGTATGTGCATCAATTGGTAGGTAATTTTTTCCCATACAATTCCCATCTAATACAAAAAAAAAATCGGTACTGCTTTTCCATCGAAACTGTAAAATGTATTATGCTTTAAGACCTTCACCAAAATATTTAAGAAAAATATTAAGATGGGTGAACTGGACCCAATTGAAAATACCTCCAAAAAAAATCGAGTTTTTATAAATAAAATTAGTTTTAAATTTTTTTTTATTGTAAAAAAATCTCCTAAGACGACAGAAGGGTTTAAGCTTAAAAAGCCTTCAATTATAAGTTTTAAATAAACAGAATAGTCATATTCTACCAAAAAAAGACTATCGCTTAAAAAGTATTTAAGAGAAGGGCTTCTAGAATGTTTTTTTATTCCTTTTTTTGCCGGCTGGGTTGTTTTCATAACAAACATATATACATACATATGTATGTATGTACATAGATATGTACATATTTAGATATGTACGTTTGTATGAGCGCAAAGTAAATTGCATGCAAGTCCTTTATTTATAGTTCCTGGTTGTTGTTGAATTAGGACACAAATTGCTGACTGAATACAAGCAAGCAATGGCGCCAAGTTGGTTAACGCCCCGAAAATAAAATTATACACACACACACACGATTTGATTGAAGGGAATTGAGTTTGCACATTTGTTTGCAAGTACAAACATATATAGCAATAACATAACTACAACGGATTCCACGATTTTTATTTTTTTTTATTTTAGACAACATATTACAACATATATTTTGCTTCCTCGTTTCTTGGATAGAAAGGCGGCTTTCTACAGGTATCCTAAGGCGACATATTATTAAAAAATATCTGTCGGTACTCCTGTACGGTCCTGCGTTGTTTTCTTTTCTTACTTAAATTTTTAATAAAATCTTTAGCGGTTTTTCTATTCTCATTCATGCACTGAATTTTGTATGTCACTCACTGCCAACACAAAACTCACCCAGCAATGTGAATGGAAACTTTTACGAGGACTTCGTAATGTCATTCATTATAATCCGAATTGCAAATGTGCTATTTGGCGGTGATGACATTTTACTCAGTCATGCAGTTGGGCGCCGCATAAAAGATATTGCAGTTGTATTCGTAGAAAATGCACTATTTAAATTAACTTCAAAAAGAAATCTTCAAAATACATTGCATGAATTTCTGGTCAATGTGAGGATTTCAGGCAAGCTACGGTTTGTTGTAAGATCTTACACTCTGCAAAAAAAAAAGAAACAAATAAGTCTCTGGCTTTATCAATTAGGAACTGACACCTTCGGAAACTTGCACGACATGATACATGGCGGAAATAACGGGTTTTCTCTAACGGGTGATTTTTTTGAGGTTAGGATTTTTATGCATTAGTATTTGACAGATCACGTGGGATTTCAGACATGGTGTCAAAGAGAAAGATGCTCAGTATGCTTTGACATTTCATCATGAATAGACTTACTAACGAGCAACGCTTGCAAATCATTGAATTTTATTACCAAAATCAGTGTTCGGTTCGCTTTACGTCCGATTTATGGTCTACATAATCGACCAAGTGAGCAAACAATTAATGCGATTGTGACCAAGTTTCGCACTCAGTTTACTTTATTGGACATTAAACCAACCACACGAATGCGTACAGTGCGTACAGAAGAGAATATTGCGTCTGTTTCTGAGAGTGTTGCTGAAGACCGTGAAATGTCGATTCGTCGCCGTTCGCAGCAATTGGGTTTGCGAAACACATTTCGAACCGAACACTGATTTTGGTAATAAAATTCAATGATTTGCAAGCGTTGCTCGTTAGTAAGTCTATTCATGATGAAATGTCAAAGCATACTGAGCATCTTTCTCTTTGACACCATGTCTGAAATCCCACGTGATCTGTCAAATACTAATGCATGAAAATCCTAACCTCAAAAAAATCACCCGTTACATACGCTTCGCAGTACCTTCTTTCTCTTAGCACGCTTCGCAGACCCTTTTTTGATGGTTTTGTTCGTTAAATTGCCGCATCATTCAGCCACCGGCATCAGACCCTTATACCATAACAACCTTGGCACGACCAAGCAGATTCTTCCGAATAAAGAACGCATTGGTATGCCCTTCGTCACTTGCAAGCTGCTTTTAAGTGAATTTATTTATGCTCGCGCGAGCGAGAGATGGATGCAAACTACGACCTGTCGAATTTCTAGCCAAACTTGGCCTAGGTGGGATCGAAAAAGGTCTCGAAGTCTATACTCTCTAAAGAGGGAGGATATATCTCATACAATCGGTGCTCTAACGGGTCACTGTCTTATATGCAGACATGCAGAACGTCTCGGAGTGCCTTACCATAGATGCTGCAGAAGTTGCAAGAATTATGAGGAAGAGGAGACAGTTCTTCACCTTCTTTGTAAATGCCCGGCATTATCGAGAAGTAGGCTGCGCTTTCAGGGGTTTCCTTTCAATAATGACCTTGACAAATTGGGAACTTTAAACCCTAGATGCCTGGCGGGTTTCGTCAAAGATTCAAAATGGGTTACAAAGGGCGAGCGAAAACTCTTAGTCCTGGTATCACAACGGGCCTTCATTTCATGGCCTATGTGTGTCCCTCCGCAGCAGTGGCAGCCACATATACCTACCTACCTATAACCTTCAACAAATTCATGTGGTTAGATTAATACTTGGAAAAAATCGCGAGGCCTTCTTAAGTGGAACAAAGGATATGTTTCCTTGGCCATGGATCGGTTGACAGGTCACATTGAAGAAGCAAGTGTAGAGACTCGTAGTGTCTTGTAATGAATTCTGCAGGAAATGCAAAGGCGAGGAAGTGCCTGAATCCGTAAGACACTTACTTTGAGAATGTTACGCACTTTAGAGAAGTAGACTGGGCTACACGGGTGCTGGAACTTTTGGGTCTTGAGTGATATAGTGGGGATAAAAACAAGACGATTGCTCAATTTTTCTATTCTACGTATTGCTTTATATAGTTGAGGTGTATAGATCCTGTATGATACTATAAGGGGTCCGATCGAGGACCAAAGGGTTTGCCTTATTTCTGAACTCAAACAGTTAGTGAGTTTTGTTTTTGAAAAAAGTCGAACCGGCAAATATTGGAGACTTCGAAAGGGAATAAAAGTGGAGAGAAGTCAAGAGGTTCAGTATTTCTAAGAAAGATATAGCAAACAATGCTAGCTAAGATAAAGAGCTTTCAGCAACCTGCGACTCACACACAAAGCATTGATATGATCCTAATTGTTGGTCGGGTAGAACGATTTGGATTATATTTTTGAAGTCCACTGCTTTGGCGGTAGTTGCTAAAAATCATAAACCGTTCCATGCAATGTCGAGATTCAAATCAAGGATGGATATATGTACATTAGGGCGGGTCAATTTGTATGGGAGACTTTTTCGACTACGCGCGTAAAGCATAAGAGGATTCTATGTGTAATGCTAAGAAAATTTGTCGAAGAAACCAGGTCAACTTTTTTTTACTATGCGCGTATAAAATAAGAAGGTTCTAAATGTAATTCTAAGCAAATTTGCCGAAGACATTTGGGGTCTCTAATCAATTTAAGAGTTTGCCAAATTGCGAAAATAGGTTTCTTAGCATTATGCTCTAGTGTCGTACAGAAGGCTTATATGCTTTTATAAAAACATGCTATAAGGGGTATATTCTCAAATCTTTCTTCAGAGGACGCAATAGTAAACATTTACACATTTGGCAAACTCCAAATTGATTAGAGACCCCAAGTTTCTTCGGAAAATTTGCTTAGAATTACACTTAGAATCTTCTTATGTTATACGCGCATAGTAAAAAAAAGTTGACCCGCCCTAATATACATATAATGGAAAGTATCGGCAATCCTGGGATCTTCAGACCTTTATATGTATTGTATGTATATAGAGTCAGGTTGTGATCAACGCCCATCAATCGGTAACTTTGAACTCGTAAAGGTTTCATTCAAAAAAGTATCAAATGCAAATATTTAATCACACCGGTTTTGCTGCAGTAAATAGGTAAGAAGCTCCAAAGCAAACGTTAATACTCAAGTTTTCTTGAAGAGGAAGCAGATGAGGAAAAGGTCTCCATATAATACGCCTTAAAATTCAGATGACCACTTGAAGAGTTTGAGTACTGAAGCGGTGTCTTGAGGTAAAAGTTGACAGGAAATTCGGTAATTTATAGATGAGAAGAGGTAGCATAGTTATGTAGGAATTCACGCTGTATTGGAAATTAGACTCTATGGCTTTACCGTAACTAAGTGGACTGTTTTTTTTAAGATTTCCACAAATGCAAAATGAAGAGCAGAGAAACTTGTTTGCAAAATGACTTAAGTACTATTTAAGCTTAATTAATACTTTTCAATTTCAAATTTTCAAACTTACCTCCTCAACAGCTTCACATTCGAAGAGATATATATGTAAGAGCGGATCGCGTGGATCCTTCATCAAGTACACCAGTCCGGTGATGGGACCAAGGAATTCCATGAAATTATTTGCATTTCCACCATTCGCTGCATCATTTGCACCACCCTCTGCGCCATTAGCACTCTCCCGCTCGCGCTCGCGCTCGCGTTCCCTTTCACGCAGTGCGGCACTCGAAGATAGTGAACCATACGAAGTGGAGGTGGTCAGAGGTCCACCAGTGGTATTGCTTGACTTAAAACCATTCGTATTGTTGCTGCTATTGCCACCGTTAGTGAAAGCCTTCAATTGAAGAAACCCATTGCCGGCGCTTTTTGCGTTGCTCTGCTTGTGAACGATGCGGCACATGCCGACAATATGCTTGAGTGGATGACTGAATTGTAATTCGAAATCGGAGTTGTACGACTCGAGTATGCCATTTTCGATGCCAACGGACAGCTGTAAGGGAAGGAGAGAAAAAATGTGAAAAAAAAATGTAAATAAAGAGCAAGGAATTAGAATTAAAAAGGAATTTAAATGTGAATTTAATGCGAACTGCTGTGGAAAAAACAGTTAAGTGTTGGGGGCAGGCTTGCCACCGACGAAAAAAAAATACTTCCCACCCACTTGAGAAAAATCTGCCAAATTTGAAAAATATCTAACAATAAAATTTTCTGGTTATTTAAATAGTTTTTATATTTTTTTTTAGTTAGTTCTATAAAAATGAAAAATTTTTAATAAGGAACCTTTTATTTAACTGACTATATGGTATTTGAGATCATGTTAATGGCATAATCTCGGTTTTCTTCAACCAAAAGGAAAAGTGATGAAACTAAAGGCATCAACAAAACTCGACATTTGAAAAAATTTCAACTGGAGTTATCATAGACAAATACAGTGACTCAACAAAGCGCTTGGTGATTTTTATTTTATATTCACAATGATTTTCAGGTAAAAATTTTTTTTGCATTTTGTTGTATAAAAATATTGTTTGCGCTTTAACCAAATCCATAAAAAAGAAGGACTCAAGCTATATACAATATTTAGAAAAATTCCAAAAATTGTCGTCTAATTAAGCCTAAGGAATTTAGGTATTACCAACAATATACAGCTAAAAATTCCCGCTACTTTTTTATTTTTTTTTGCCGCCGGTCTTTTATAAATTTTTTTTATTTAACAATTGCCGTTTATAAAAACTGGCGTTGATTTTTTTCTAATTTTTTGCCAACAATAATAATATGTAATTAGATACCTGTCCATTTTTTCTTTTTATTTTATTAATCTAAAATTTAACGCAATAAAGTAGACCACACTTTTGGAAAGAAATTTATAAAACAAAGATATTTAACTACGAAAAATAAAGTGCGAGAACGAAAAGTTTTATTTGTTGTTCAAAGAAAATACTTTAACAAAAATTTACCAAAATGGAAAGAAATTTACTTTTTTACCCACCCAAATTTGTTCTACCAATTTTGGCAATCATTTACCAAAGTGGCAACCCTGGTTTGGGGGAAATCTACAAAATCTCTTGTACACACGCAACAAAGCTGCAGTAGCGTAGTTTCCACTTCGCTTGTCGCATAGCTGCATGGCATGCAAAGTGCATATTATAATGGCTTAGCGAAGTATGAAATATTAAAATGGAATATAAAAAAAATGTATATGAAAAAGAGAAACCAAACACAGCAGCCATAAGGCCAACTTATCGTAGTCAACAATCTCAAGCATAATCACCAGGCACCGCTGCCTGCACGTTGCTCTAAATGGCCTGCTTATGCCGCAGTTGAGACACGCGTTATCCCTCCAGCTGACACCGCAGCTGTTGGCTGCTGTGCAAATTGGCTGGCAACTGCGCACTCTAAAAAAAAAGTGTAACAACTTTGCTACCTTGGTGTCTGGCTGCTTGAAAGGCAAAACTTTTCCATTGTCAAATTAGTTATTCAATAATCTCATTTTCTTTCACATTTTAAATTCCAACCTTTTGCCACCCTTCCTCATATTTACTGATATAATTTAATTTTCCTTCCTTTTTCATGTTGTTTTTTTTTATTGTTTTTCTTTCACTTGAAGACAAAGTGAAATATAAATTAATTAAAACAAATATCGTGTTTTTTCGCAGCAAAAAATCTGCGCAGCAAAAAATCTGCTAAGTGCAAAACAAAGTTTGATAATCGCAAAAGTGTAAGGATGCTGCAAAAAAAGGCGTTCAATTAAGCAACGGAAAAGAGCAGTCAGCGCGGATTTCCTCTTAAAATATCGTTTCACTTTTGAGTTGAGCGGTTGCTTGCCAACTTTCGAGTTGAGTTTTTTGCAGGATATGCGCTGAAAGTTCAATTTCCTTATTAGTTTTTTTCGTAATTGACATTTTTCCTTGCTTCGCCTTGTTAAATGTCAATTTAAAGTCAATTAGTGTTCCATTGCTTCCAAATAAATATTTTTCAATCTTGCTCGAAGAGATATGAAAAGTTTTTAAATACTTGTACTTTCGTTATACTTCTAATATTTAGTTGTTTGCTTTTATGAAAGTTGGCTGTGAACTTTTTGAACAGAGGAGCTAGGTTGGTTATATAAATATTAATACGGCTCGTTTGCAGGAAAAGGCGGGAGAAAAATGGCTCCAAAGTTAACGGCTAATTTTTTTGTGGCGTTATTTCTTTCCATTTAAGTAATCAAATCAACGTTCTAAGTATGAAAAAAAAATTGGACCACAAATACAGATTTTCCAAATATTTTGACTCCTGTGCCACCTACCTACCGGACTAATTCATTTTTTAACGGTTTCAGGAAAATAAACCCTATTTTCGCAATTGGCAATCTCCAAATTTATTTTATACCAATTTTGTTTTAGCATAATAGATGGAGACTCAAAAAAATTTTGTTATTAAATTCCCTCCTCCTTCCTTTAATAACAGCTTATGTCGAGGAGCTTTGGCTTTATAAATGTTCTGAAAAACTAATTTGTTTATAGCACGACTTTCAACTTGTTGGAGATTGAGAAGGCATTTCTGAGTACCATACCTTAAAAAATCAACATCTAAATTTTATATAGGGCACCCTTTTATTTTGGTCTACATACAACATAAAGTTATCCACGAAAATTTGAAAATTTGAAAATCTTAAAAATTTAAATTTCAAAATTTTTATTTGAATTTAAATTTTTAGGGGTCGCGCCATCTGGGTGTGCAAAAATTTAAATCTGGTAAGCTTGATATTATTATTGAAAACTTTTCATATAAATTCATAGACATCGCCAAATTGATTCATCTTGTAATATTAAGCTCCAAAGACTGTCATTTGTTTAAGTTTTTCGGAATAAGTGCAGCATTTTCTTAATTTTTCCTAAGTTCTACAATATTGGTTTGCAGATAACTTTCTATCTTGAAAAAATCCCAAAAAACCCATGTATGGGGGAGTGTTACTTGTGATTTTTTATACTCAAAACGCTTTTTTTATTTTTTCCTTTGGGCAATTTTTGAGATTCATTTATAACAAAACTGACAAGTCCATCAATACGAATCACTTAGTAGCGACTCCTAAAAACCCTTGGGTTGCGCGGAACCCACTTTATGAAGCTCTACCCTAGATTATTGACTACGTGGTAGAAAATATGTGGAGGTTGTTTAACGTTGGGTGCCAAGTCATTCCAGGATAGCTGGTAATAAAACAGCTGACCATTTGGCTCAAACCAAGTATTTTTTTTTGGTTCTGCCCGCAGTTTTAGCCCCTTCATTTTCAGCCATCGAAGCTACCTTCAGAAACTGGCTGAATATTTGGTTTAGCTATGACTGGGAGGTTTTGAGGAGCTGTAGGCTGTTGGTGTTACCCTCATTCTTAGAAGTGCGAATTAAAATACAGCGGCTCCGCTGGCTTGATCATAGCCAACAAACGGAGAGAAATGCTCCAGCTCTGAGTGTATTTAGTGCGGGTCGCGAGGCTGTTAAGAGAGAAAAAAGGAAAACCTCCTCTGCGATGGGAAGACCAAGTGGAGAAGGACTTGACTTCACTTGGCATAGAAAAGAAACGACTGTAGTACTTTACTGCATACCGGTCAATATGCAGCAATTTTCATAATAAAAACAGAAACCAGAAATTCAATTCAAATTCAGTCGCTTTCCTTGGTTTTCTACTTTGATTCTGTTTTCTCCCAATTTAATTACGGCGGCAATACAAATGTTTTTTTTTTTATATTATTTTCAGAAAGCGATATTTTTCAAGATGTGTCTAGCTAATTTATTATATCAATCATTTTAAGCTTTCAATTAAAAAAAAAAAAAAAACCTGCTCATCCCGACCGTGTGTACATAGATAAAGGGCAGTGAGTGCATACATACATACATACATACCTCCTACACATTTACATAGCAATTTGCCGTCTGTATATAAGTATAATTTAGATAAATAATTGAGAGGTGCCTATGTATGTATGTTTGTATACAGTTAAGTCGTATATCAGAAAATACTGATTGTTACGACAATTTGTGACGCAAATAACTAATGGATGGGAAATGGTAGATATATTGCCACAACGGTTTTGAATGCGATTATAATGAGCAAAACAAATATGTACAATAAAAAAAACTATAACTTGAACAATAAATAAAAGAGAGAAAACCTGCGCATAAAGTACAGTAATTGTGCAACAAATAATTATTAGCCTGCTTGGGGGTGCGTAAGTTGAACATGCTCATACATGCAATACATTGCAAATATTTGCTTTGTCGTTGTGAATGTACATATGTATTATTTAAGCAAAGGTTTTGGGTCAACAAATAGCAAATACATACATATACATATGTATGTAGCAACATGTAGTGGATATTGTTGGAGGACTATTGAACTCAGCAGCCGTTGTAGATACACTCGGCAACAAATGAAAGTGTACACCTTGTTCTAATAAAATTTTCACAATTATTTTCATGAAAAACATTAATTATTTATGAAAATATAATTCATTCTATAACATAAACCAAAGTTTTACACTTTGTATAAAGTTAACAAAAATTAAAAAAAAAATTTCAAAATTTTTATTCAGAATTTCTAGAAAAATTTTTAGTATGCAGTTTTGGAGCCCATTCGAAGTGCATTTTGTTTTTTAGAATTTTTTTGTGAAGTGTGTTGCGCGTTTTCTTCCATGTAAAGCATTATCAAAATCTATTTACTGTGAATTTTATTTAAAGTGTGCAACTTTCATTTATATTATATTTTCATAAATAGTTAATACCAAAAATTGCTTTTGCAACACCGATTTGTTTAATAGTTTTGTATGTTTAGTAAAACTAGATGAGAGAGGCCTCCCTGCTTCTTTTAAATTTGGTTTGTCCAGCGGTTTCGAGATATCAATTTTTGAAAATGGCCAGATTAGGACCATTTTCGTTTTGAAAATTTTCATTTTCAAACACTTTTGGAATAACATAAAAAAAAAATTTCAAAACCGTATTTTCATAACATATATTTTTTTT